CTGCAGTTTTCACTTCATGGTGATTATGGTGAAGTTCCTAAGAGGATTTACAGTTTCAGCTGATGAGGCTGGAGCAGTTGGATTATATGCAAGGGGACACTGGTGGTCTGTGGGATGAGAAATAACATTTATTGACATCTTTCACCTGTTAAAATGCAAGTCATGGGGATAAAATTCGAGGTTTGAGCAGACAAGTAGAGGTTCCTTAGATGTGGTGGCATTGCACGCTTGTTTGCAGCAAGGTAGGGCAGAAAGCTGCTTTGGGTTCAGACTGATTAAATCTGTAACCTTATCACAGTTGTCACTCTGACCAGCCTGACTGGAGCCGGGCTGAAGGATTTAATGACTTCAGTCTTTATTCCTTCAGCTAGAATAGCACGTTTCATTTCACTGTGCATCTGAAATTGTAGTTATTACCTTTATGGCACTAGAGGCCTGTGCTCTGTAAGCCAAAGGCTCCTCAGATTGGTGTGGCTGAGGGTGCAAGAGCAGTAATTTCAAGGTGTTAGCTTCTTGCAACAGGGGAGGCTGGGATTGTGAGAAAAGAGCAGTGTTTTGTTTCTGGCTGACTGCTCCACTTGCTGCTCTTGCTGTACAGCTTTCAGTATGCATCCCTCTGAATCCTCCATCAGTGGTTCACACTAAGCTGAAATATTATTTGTGAGGGTTTCTTTGATTTTTATCTTTTTGTCCTTTGACAAGTCTAAATAGAAATGTTCCTTTCCAGCTGTCTCTGGCAGCTGTGGGAAGTAGTAGCATCAAGTTCTGACTTCAGAGTAACTGAAGGTGTATTCAGTGGCTGGGATACAGCCAGTACTTCCAGCAAGAAAATGGATTTGTGCAGATTTGATTCTGTGCTATTTTTCTAACACTTTGCTTCTGTGAGGTCTGTTACTGCTCTGATACTTCCTTGGGATTCTCAGGTAGTGGCACCAGTTCAATAGTAAAGAAATTCTCAAGCTGTATTTCACATCAGTGTAGTTGAATTGGGTTTGTGTGGAACTCTGCTCGTGGCAGCTTTTATGTTGTGTGTTGGGAGGGAGAGGAACCTCGGTCTGAAAGGCAGCTCCTGAGGCAGCGTAAGCCCCAGCTGCTGCAAGATCCAGACTTGAGAAGACCCTCAAACAGCCATTCTGAAGGTGTCAAGGCATGCAGTGCTCTGGGAAGTAACTTCACATTAATTAGAAGTGTTTTGTGTTTTGCTCAGCTTTTCAGCTGTGGCTGTACTTCCTCAAGCAGAAGTTTATCTCAGTCCACTCTCTTGTTTCTGCCAGTAACTTGAGAGCTGCTTTGTGCTGTCCTGCACATCCTTTTTAACCTTGATGCTCTTCTAAAGCTGTTCCCTTTCCAGGCTGCCAGAGCAAGTTCTGAGAATCCTGGTCAGGCATGCAGGTGTTATCCTAATATAAAAAAGAATTTGGCACCTGTAGTGCAATGCCTGTATTAAACATGTGGTGCTGTCTCTAACAATAGAGACTGAACCCCCCCTGCAGAGCTGAGTAAACTGCTATTTACTTCTACAGCACAGTGGGTTTTGCTGTCAGACTTCTCACAGCACTGTCTGTTAATTGGTTAATGCAAACTTGCTAACTCCTAAGCAGAATGCTGTCCCAGCTCTGGTAGCTCCTCACTGGTCTGCCTGATGCCTTCAGCAATGCTGTAAGGCAGCTGTTAAAAGTTCTCAGTGACCTATTTCACAAACTGTTTCATGGCTGTGTAGAACAGTGTGAAGATAAAGGTTGAATGTCTCGTTGCTGCTCAACTGGGGGTGATCTGGGACTTTGTGTGCTGGAAGGGAGAGTGTGTTGATGCAGATACCATGAGTGTGGTGACACAGACAGAAATGTGCTCAGTGCAGCTGAGATCACCGAGGGAGCAATTCTGATGTGTTCATTTCTTGAGAGAGGATGTACAGAACATAGAAGTGTCCTGATGTAAGAATGTCTGTGTTTCAGTTTGACGAAGGACGTAACAACTTTGAAGGGGATCTTACGAAGGACAACTTGCTGAACTTCATCAAGTCCAATCAGTTGCCTCTTGTCATAGAGTTTACTGAGCAGGTGGGTATTTGGGTGTGTGAAACCCTTCTGTAACCACTGAACACACTGACACTAAAGATATGGATTGTGTGCTGTTTTATCCTGGGGCTGATGCAAGTTCAAGGAGTGGTGTAACTGCTGATGTTAGAGCTGAGTTGAGTGATGGAAGAATGCAGGAAAGGGAGGTGTAAGCTTGCTGTTCAAAGCTGTCCTGTAATACTTGACTTGTGACCTAGTGAGAATGATAGGGCCGAGCTTTGTTTTCAGTTTAGTGTTTTATTCCCCAGACCGCTCCTAAAATCTTTGGAGGAGAGATCAAGACTCACATTCTGCTGTTCTTACCAAAAAGTGTGTCTGATTATGAAGGGAAATTGGACAACTTCAAGGCTGCAGCTGGAAACTTCAAAGGGAAGGTAAGATGGATTTCTTGGACTACGAACTGAGTGCCTCCTTCACGACTGTCTGCCTGTATCCACCCAGATGTGCAAGGTGACTTGAGGCATCACTTGCCACAACAAGCAATGATGCCAAGTCTGCATGCAAGCTGCTTGAAGTGTTGAAGCAGTCTGTCATGGGGAGCCCAGGCTTTGAGAAGGAAAAGGCCAACTTAGCTACTGTGTGTGTGAGTGCATTGATGTGTGCATGAGTGATGAACATACGTGAGTGAGAAGCACAGTCAGTCAAAAGGTCCTTTACCACTTTGCCTGTTTTTCTTCCCTCCGAAGATCCTGTTCATCTTCATAGACAGTGACCACAGTGATAATCAAAGGATTCTGGAGTTTTTTGGCCTAAAGAAAGAAGAATGTCCAGCTGTACGCTTGATAACACTGGAAGAAGAAATGACCAAATACAAACCTGAGTCAGATGACCTCACAGCTGATAAGATCAAGGAGTTCTGCAATAAGTTCCTGGAGGGCAAGATCAAGGTAACAGATGAATGCTGCTAGTGCTAAACCTACTGGCCAAGCAAGCACTAAAAAATGCTGCCTGTGAAGAGTTGTATAGAGAAAATCTCTCCAACTAACATACAGGCTATCTAGCAGGCTTTATATTGAGAAACAAAGGGTAAAAGAACTGGACCATGAAGACTGTAGTAAAGCAGTTACATATGGTCCCTAGTGTATAACTGGTGTCTGCTCTTCCTGCTTCTTAGGGGCTTTGGGCTTTTTATCTGGCTGTTCCCTCTGCCAACAGACCTCAGTCTTGTGAGAATAACACTAGTAACAGTGTTCTTCAGTCAGAGCTAATCTGCAGTTCTTCCCATGCATAAGCACCTGTATCCCCACTTATTCAAGGGTGGGGAGTGAAATTCCTGTAACCAAAAGAGAAAGATTCAGCTGATTTTTAATTAGTTGGAGGCGCTTTGGGATTGTAAGGTTTTCCATCTGTGATATATATGCATTCCAATAGCTGTACAGCAGACAATCTCTAAGTTTTATTTCTTACTCCAGCCTCACCTGATGAGCCAGGATCTCCCTGAAGACTGGGACAGGCAGCCTGTCAAAGTTCTTGTGGGGAAGAATTTTGAGGAAGTTGCTTTTGATGAGAATAAGAATGTCTTTGTGGAGTTCTGTAAGTAGTTTTCAGTATCTGTTTCCAAGTGAATGGTATGAAAGCAGGTGTCAAATTCTCCATGACTGGGGTTGGGGAGAAAGCATCATACAGAACAAACCACAGAGGCATCTGTTGAAAATACATGCGTGAACTTGGTTGTCTGGCATGGAGTTTAAGTGATGTTATGTCATTAGACTGTTGGTGCTAGCAGTATCTCTGTTAATTAACAGATGCCCCCTGGTGTGGTCACTGTAAGCAGCTGGCTCCTATCTGGGACAAGCTGGGAGAGACCTACAGGGACCATGAGAACATTGTCATTGCCAAGATGGATTCAACAGCCAATGAAGTAGAGGCAGTGAAAATCCACAGCTTCCCCACGCTCAAGTTCTTCCCTGCAGGCTCTGGCAGAAATGTAAGAAGGCGGCTGACCTCTGTACTGATGGAATAACAAGGGAGCACTGGAAATGCTCAGTTGTCTGCTTGAGTTTGTTTCTGGGCAAAAGCTTGTGGGAGGGCTTTCCCTCCTGTAGAGATGGAAGGCATCAAGTCTACAGAAGGTGTGAGACTCTGTGCGGGAGGGTGGGTTCCAGGAAGCAGTTGGTGGGGATGGGAAGTGGGAACTGGGAAAGAGAGGAAGCGTAGCAGAGGACAGTGTGCTCATCTGCAGGCTGTTCTCTCCTCGCAGTGATCTCTGAAGTCTAGTGGCTGGGCTGTCTTCATTCCTCTCATATGGGTGAAGGTGAATTTTTAAATTCCCTTTTGCTTGGCATGTTAACTGCTGCTCAGAAAGAGAATTCTCCTCTCCAGGGATGTGGTTCCGTGGGTGCCTGTAACAACAATTTTGGTGTGTTCTCCTGTGTAGGTAATTGATTATAATGGGGAGAGGACGCTAGAAGGCTTCAAAAAGTTCTTGGAGAGTGGAGGCCAGGATGGAGCAGCAGCTGATGATGTGAGTAATAATTAATATATTATTTTCTAAATACAGCTCTCTGGAACACAGAGCATGGATTATGTGCAGGAAGGCATTGCTGGTGAGCCAAAGTGTCTCACAAAACATGGATAGTCTGTTCACTTGAAGCCTGGCTAGCTGCTGGCCTGTAATGAACTGCTTTTATTGCAAATGCTGGAGTTGGGTGTTTAAAATGAAGAAACCTTTCTGGGATGCTTAAGTACAAATGCATGTAAATGGATACTAAAAGCTTCAGGCTTGAAAAAGCAGTCTATAGCTGATGTGCAGACTGCTGGAGTACTTGGGTTTTCTTAAAGAAGCTTGCTGGATGGCTGGAAGCTGAGTGCTGCAATGAACGTCATGCATGCTGTGTATTTGGTTAGCAGCTCCTCAGCTGTCTGGGCAGAAGGCATTACAAATGCAGGCACTAGCTTTCAGAAGGTTCTAAGCTGTGATTTCTGTGAAGAGTTCCAAAGTTTGGGATACGTTGTTAAGATGGCAGCAACAGAACAGGTTCTCTAACTTCACAGTATTTGGTTTTGAATGTGCCTGATAGGCCAGAAACAAAGTTATCTTCTGTATGCTATACAGGATCTGGAAGATCTGGAGACAGATGAAGAAACAGATCTTGAAGAAGGTGATGATGATGAGCAAAAAATCCAAAAGGATGAATTGTAAAGAGATGACTGATCTGCATCACCCAAAAATCAGACACTAAACTGGTTGCTGTTACGCAGCCCAATGAGTCAGAAACCCATTAAGATTTAAAGCAGAAGGTGAATGACTGGAAGTCCAGGGATTGGCTCTTAAAATAACGCTTCACCCTCACTTGTCTTTACACTTCACTATCTCTTTCTGTCTTTTCACTTTTGAGAAGGGATCTATCACTAGGGTAGCCAGCCCAGCCACCTGGGTTCATTATTTTTTTTTTTTTTTTATTGTGATGTACTTTTTTGTACACAGTTTTTGTTTCAAGTATTCTGTTCTCTTGGGTAGAAGAAAGTTGTGAAGTGGTAGCATGTAATTAATTGCCCAACATTCTGGAGCATTGCCACTAATACCTTCCAAGAAAGCCTTTTTTATTTTTTTCTTTGAAAAGTCTGTAGATTTCTCCACCTGTCGAGTTCTTATTTGTCTCAGCTTTTCTTCCCTGGAATCAAAGTATGTAGGGGAAGAGGCAATATAGGCTGACTGCATCAGTCCTGGTGGAAGGTGGATGTGAAGGTGCTTCTCTTCGTGCTCGCTAGACATTTCATTTCCTTTCCCTTCTGCTTTAAGACACTTAAAGATGACTTCAAAATGTGGAAGGGTGGAATACTGTGCACTGGCTGTGGCAGGCTCTGAGGGTGGAAGTGATTGCTGGCTCACCAGCTTAGATGTGCTGTGCCATCCTTTTGATCAAATGCAAGACCATTTTGCAGTCACTTTCCATGCATTATTTTGAATGGGTTGACCAGAAAGGTGGGTGGTATGGGAGGGCCTGATTAAAAAATACATGAAACGTGGAATTTGCAATTACTGGGTTTGGGGGAGGAACTTGAACAAGGGAGTGCCTCAAAGGCCTGACCTGCATCAGGCCTCGTTCTTAGCATTCCGCTTATAATAACATTGGAACTGAATTTGTTGGCCAAATAAAGTCGAGATTTTAATACTATTATGTCTCTAAATATTTTCTGGAACCCATACTGAATATTTGGATTTGATCTGACAGGATTAAACTTTTAGAGTGGTTCTTGAGTGATTCTACCTAAATGGTATTGGGGAAAAAAAAACCCATAAGTGGAAGGTTACACTGCCCGGCTCCATCCAATTCTGCAGGTGGCACTACGTGCCTTGAACAGCCTGAAGCAATTTCTATTAACTAATCTATACTTGCAAACAGAGATAAACATATTGTGCTCAGTAAATGAGTTTATGCAGGCAGATGCCCTATTAGCAGTCAGCATGCATTGGCTGGAGCTCTGAGAGTAAGCTGCTCTGGCTGCCAGCTGGCTTGAGATGATGGGACCTCTTTGCTCTTGAGCATTTAACCAAGGAATTTGCCCACAGGGAAACCTGGGGCTGCCCGAAGCTCTGCTAGTCAGGCTCACATGATCTAGTGAGCCACATTGCTATTTCCACACCAGTCACTTACTGCTGAAAATATTTTTGTGGGGAAATTTGCTAAAAATGTCACAGCAAACCTAGAGGGCACCTCAGGAGGTTGCTGGGGCCAGTTGCTTAACTTAACTTTGGTACACAGGAGTGAGAGAGCGCTGGGCTCCACCCACTGCTCAGTGCTGGCTTGTTATGCACCAACCTTCAGAGCAGCAGTGCTGGGCCTGCTGATAGGCAATGCTACAGGTCAGTAGTGGCTCTGGATAAAAAAAGCTGTTTTATGTTTGGGAGAGGGGCAAAAGAAGACCCTCAGAAGTTCTGTGGGAACGTTCCTGGCTAGGAATCGGAAAGGTCAATTCTGGGGAGCCAGTAAAAGTGTAAACAAGGCTGAGCTCTGAAGTGGGGCTGGATTGCTTACAGATCTGTTCAAGGGAGGGGGGCTTTCTCATGCACTCAGGCTGCTCTTGGCAGAGCAGGGCTTTGTTGGAGTCATCTTGTGTATACATCTCACTGCTGCAGGCTGAGAGCCTTCTGTCTCTGCAGCAGATGGCTGGGCCTCCTGTTGTGTGGTGCAAAGCACTGCTGAGCAGAGATCAGTGTCTTGGCCAGAAGGTGACAGCTGCAGCAGGCACTTCCCAGGTGTGAGACAGGCTGACCTGGCAGGAGCTTGGTAGAAGGTTAAGCTGCAACAGTGCAGAATGAATGTTCTGTGACTCTTGAAGTGGGATAGGAATTCTTCCTGACGTGTTGCATGGCTGTACTGTCTGGGCAGGCCACATCAAAAGCAGCACAAAATGCTTGAAATCACCAAGCGTGATGATAACAAGGATGGAGGAGCGGTTGTTTGAGCCCTTGGCTGATTTATCTCATAGTTAATGGCCTGTTTCAGGCCTTTAATGACCATAGCAGCTGTGTGGCAGTGGTACTGTTGCTGTGAAGCTGCTCAGTATTAACACACTGTCATACAGCAGCTGGTTCCAGGTTTGAAGCAGGACCACAGTCACCATGCAGCTGGTTTGCATCACCAGGAACACCAGCAGCATTTCAGCCCTCGGAAGGTCACTCATGGCACCCATGTGCTGCTGGTGTTCTCCTGGCCTGGCTGTGCTCCACGCTGCGATCGTGCTGGGAAGCACAGCTCATGCTGCTCCCTTGCAGGTCAGCTGATGCAACTACAGGAAAGTGACTCAGGTCTGAGTGTACTTGGCACCATCATAAATAAGCAGCTGGCTCCCCTCGCCCGGTGATTGCATTTGTGTCCTATCCCTGGCATGCTGGTGTGTATGTGAGGACTTGCTGCTGGAAGTTCTGAGCTCCTCTGGAGGGCCGTCCATGCTGAGCAGCAGCTTTGACCCCTTGGATGGGCACATCAACAGGTGGGCGGTAAGACGAGACACCAACCTCTGCCCAAAAGTGGGAGGCTCCGGCCTGAGCAGCTCGATTACCAAGTATCGGAGTAAGCAGCATGAGCTCCACGTCCCCAAAATAGCCCCCAGAGCCTATATAACACCGTGCCCCCGGAGAACCGTCAGTCCTGGGTCCAGAGTGGCACACGGCCGTTGCCACCTGCAGGCTCAGCAGGCTGCTCACAGCAGGCCCAGCGGGGCCCGGATCCATCACACCTCCCAGCAGAGACGAGCCTGAGAAGGAGAGAAGAAAGCTCTGAGGGGAGCACGGGCTGAGTGCTGCCCACACGGCTGTCGTGCAGCCTCCACATTCCTGCACAGCATCCTGGGGCTGCGGGCAGCATGAAGGACTATTTCCCAGTCTCAATGCACCGGTACAGTCGGTATCGCCAGAGACTGAGAGCTTCACGTACGGTGCACTTCCCCAACGACGTCGTCTTTCAGGACCACATCAGGCAGGGGGACCTGGAGCAAGTGGGCAGGTTCATACGTGCCAGGAAAGTGACTCTGGACACCATCTACCCCTCCGGTGAGTGCTGCGAGCTGCATAGTGTCACGGCTTCTTGGGAGCAGTGCGGACACAGCTTGGCTCCGGGCTGCCCATGGCAGTGTGGTGGTTGAAAACAAATTGTTTTCTTTCCCTCGTGAGGAGTTCTGCCCCCAACGTTGCCAGTAGGGCCTGAGAGAGCCCTGCCTCATTGCCCCAGCACCTCCCCTCAGCAGCACAGTCAGCATGTGCTTTAGGAAGGGGAAAACAAGCCAGCATGGGGTGGCCAAGAAAAAGAGCAGGAATGCAGATAGCGACAAAGAGCGTGGGTGGGTATGCGGAGTTCAGGGCTGGGCAGTGGGACCCTCGCCTCTTCTATCCTGGTTCTGGGAAGGAGAGAGGAGAAGCGAGGTTCTGTTTTGTTCCTGGCTCCAGCTATGGCTCACAAAGCACTGCTCTCACTCACACGCATGGATCTGCGGCCTTGCAGAATTAATGTTTATGGAGAAGGCATTGTGTTATGTTTGTGCCCAGCCTCGCTAAAAACTGTTTATGGAATGCCTTGAACCAATACAGGCTGGTGCAGAGCCCAGAATTTGTCTCTTTCGTGTGCTTGGCTTCGGCATCTGCTGTCACATGGCCCCAGAGGCATGATCTCAAATGACCCACGCTTACCCCCACATATGCTGATTGCCTCATGCCTCACTCTGGAAAGAACTTCTGACCGTTGGGCAGTGCAGGGCTGGTGTCTTCGTGTGTCCTGGAGGAGACAGGGGCCAGGCCACGTGCAGGGGCTCGAGAGAGCCTCAGATGCAGGGGAGAACTGTGGAAACAAAAGGGACACACGTGCTGCACCTCCCCCGTAGGGTAACATATGCAATAAAAACAGAAACCAGCAGCAGCCACTCTCAGTTCCTCCCGCCTCGTGTCCTTTCCCAAACCCATCTCCCCAATGCTGAGGGTTTATGGCACTACTCCTTCCCAAGCTGTGCTCAGCCACGTGCCAAGCCGTCCCTTCCTCGCAGGCATGGCTGCCCTGCACCAAGCGGTGCTCACGGGGAACCTGGACTGCGTCAAGCTCCTGGTGAAGTACGGCGCCGACATCCACCAGAGGGACGAGAACGGCTGGACGCCCCTGCACATGGCCTGCAGCGACGGCCACGCCGATATCGCCAGGTGGGCACGACGGGGGGCCGGGCTGGGCTCGGAGTGCCGCCCGGCTCGGAGCTCACACTGTCGCCGCCGCAGGTACCTCTTGTCGCTGGGAGCCAGCCTGGAGGCAACCACGGACGACGGGGAGAAGCCGTCGGACCTCATCGACCCCGAATACAAGGACCTGGTGGAGCTTTTCCAGGCCGCCACGATGGACTGAGGGGGACGGGCGTCACGGCCGGGCAGCGGGGCTGCGCGGGGCTCGGGCTGGGTCCGGGCGGGGCGGCGGGGCGCCCCGGGGCGCGCTTTGTACTTTTCCAATAAAGCTTTCGGACACGGCGAGAGCAGCCGCTAGGGGCGGGGGGGGGGGGGGGACCACGTGACGTAGGAGCGGGACCACGTGACTTAGTGGGCGGAGCCGCGTCAGCCCGGGGGCGGGGTCGCGCCTGCGCGCCGCGGCGCTTCCGTGGCGGCCCGAGGGCGAGCGGAGGCGGGAGTCGGGCCCAGGTGAGGGGCGCGCGTTGCCATGGCGACGGGCTGAGGGCGGCCCGCGGCCTAGCCCCGGCCTGGCCGCCCTCTCCTTTCTCCCCGCAGCCGCGCCGAGCCGAGCCGCGCCGCCGCACGCACCGCGCCATGGCCAGGTGAGCCCCGCCCCGGGCCCGGGCCCAGCCGCAGCCCCGGGCCCCGCTCAGCCCCGCGCTTCGCTTTCAGCTCCCCCGTGTCTCGCGTCGTTTACAACGGCAAGCGGAGCGGCGGCCCGCGCTCCCCCGGCGCCGGCAGCGAGATCTTCACGCCGGCCCACGAGGAGAACGTGCGCTTCATCTACGAGGGTGAGCGGCGGGGTTGGGGGCGGGGTTTGGGGCCGCGGCCGCCGCCGAGCCCCGCGCGAGCCGCCCGGCCGTGTTCCCGCAGCCTGGCAGTGCGTGGAGCGCGACCTGCGCAGTCAGATGGGCTCCGAGCGCGGCCTGGTCGAGGAGTACGTGGAGAAGATGCCGAACCCCAGCCTGAAAGGTGAGCGGCCGCGCCCTCCTTGCGCCGCGGCCGGAGGCGTCGGGTCGGCCCCGGGGCGGGGAGCTGCGGTGCGGCCTCTGCCGCCAAAGGCTGTGCTCTGTTCTCCGCAGCGTTTAAACCCGTCGATCTGAGCGACCTGAAGCGGAGGAACACACAAGACGCAAAGAAGTCGTAAGGCAGGTCCTCCGCTCGTCGGCTGGTCTTTAAAGTCCTCAAGCAGATTTAAGTTGAGATTTTGTGTTATTTCCTCCTCTGGTTACTGTACTCCGCCCGTGGGAGAGCCGGTCAGCTCTGGGGCTGGCTTTGGAGCTACCTGAATTCCACGATGCTTAGGGGCTCACTGAAGCTAGACGGAGCCCTCTGTAAAAGATTGCAGCCCCTGACCCACAGCTTCCTCAGGCCTCTGTGCTGCGATCACCGGTCACTTGTTCTTCCATCTCTATCCCTGGTGTGCTGAGTATTCAGGTTTCCTGGGTTCTGGTGCAGGGTAGGGCAGAGCACCCGTGCTGTCGGTAGAGGCAGTGCCAGCTCTCTGCTCCCTTCTGTTCACTGAGGGCTCATGGGTTCTGGAGTGGACCAAGGGGAGAAGGAAGGAAACCTGGTGTTGGCCTGGTGCTGAGGGACACACTGGCAGCCCCAGTCCAGCAGTGGGCAGTTCAGCACCATCGGGCAGCTCGCTGCTGCCACTTTGGCACTCTTTGCCTATTCTTTGCTCCCTGGTTGGATGGCTTAATTTGTACCTAGTCTGCTAATGCCCAGGACTCATCAGTGTTGCCAAAGCTCTTTGGTTTACATCCAATGCCAGATTTTCCTTGTGCTTATATTGGGCCATATCCTTGTAGTGCTGGTAGTGGAGCTGCTCCTCTTTCCCTGTGAGGGGGAGGGAGAGAGAGGCTCCAGCCCCAAACATTTTGGAGATGCTTTGAGCACGAGCACTGAGTTGTGCTCAGCCACCTCCCACCCTCAGCCTGGAAGGTGGTGGTGGGGGAGTGGCTAGCTCTGACTTAGGATAAAAAAGCTCATTTGCATCCTTGCCTGAGCAACTCCTGCTGTTTGAGCACTAACACCACTTCCCAAACACGCACCCTTTGAAGAGACCTGTTGTCCACAGCTTGCAGTAGCATTGTGTGCAGGCTGTGGTGGTCTGGTCTGACTTGCCCTGGAGGCTGGCTTTCTCTGGACCCTTGCTCCTGTCTAATCATTTCTGTGCAGGGAGGGTGACTGTGCCCTCGTGCCCGTGTGGGCAGAGCAGCTGTGGGGCTTCTCAGTGCCTCTGGGGGCGTGGGGAGCTGTGGGAACAACTTCCTGCCTGTGCTCAGAGCTGGCAGGGAAGGAGCTGCAGAGGCTCTGCCCAGCACGTGGTGGATTCAGAGTGCAGGGGAGTTGTGGTTGCTGTTAACTTTCCTTCGTTGCGTCATTGAGCTATACTGTCCCTTTTTTTTTTTTTTCCTTTTTTTTTTTTTTTTTTTTTTCCTGTTGTCTGTCACTTGAGGAGTGTTGTAAATAAAAGCTGGTGTTCTTTTGAGTCTGCCTCTGTGTGGCTCTGCCTGCTCCTCCGTTGCACGTCACAAGCATCAGCTCCGGGGCCACCTCTGCCTGATGTCGCCGTGTGCTGCTCGCCACAGGGCTGTGCTGGCACTGGAGCAGTTCCACAGCACTGCCTGCTGCCTGCCTGGCCGTGTGGGTGCCCAGTGGCCACGAGAGGCCTTGGCCACACTGTGGGCATTGGACCCAGCTGGCGGGGCCGTGCTCTGCTGTGCCCTCATTCGGCCCCCTCTGCCTTTGAGCTGTGTGTGCGCCTTGCTCTGCTCTGTCTCTGTCTGCACCCTTTCTGGAGTAGTGCCCTTACTCTTCCCTTTTTTTTAGGTTTCCAAACTTGTCCTGTTTTGTTGCTTAAATGCTGTGTTTCTTATTTTAGACTTCAGTGCTGACAATAACCATCAGAGTTTTCTGTGCCTCTTCAGGCCTGGCCGAGCCCTAAGGACAAGGATCGCAAGGAGCAGAAGCCACCTCAATTATTGATTTATTCATTTTCCAGAAGGGATCTTGCCCTTGCACTTGCTCTGGGCTCTTAATTTCACTGCAGGCATGTACAGCCTGGCACCGTGTGCTGGTAGCACAATGCCCTTGGGCTCTGGCAGCCCTCCTGCGAGCCAGCATCCTGGGATCTGTTGCTGGACCAAAGATTGAAATGTTCAGACTATTAATACACTCGTATCCTTTTCCCTCTCCTGCATTTATGGCATTTAAACTATACTTAGCATTGCTAGAATTTCTCCTCAAGTGCACCTCTGTGCTGCGCCGTGACCCTGTTTGCCTCCCATCTCCAAAACACTGCTGTGGAGCACAGCGGTGCTCGGCCACAGGATGGTGTCTGGGCAGCGCTGCGCTGCAGGAGCTGCCCTCTGTCGGGAGCAGCAGTGAATGAAATGACTGCTGCTGCCACTGCAGCTCGTCTCCGCCGGCTTTTCCCTCCAGGTGGGCCATTACCTGCAGCTTCTCATGGCTGCTTGCCAGCAGCAGCGTGTCCAACATTTCCCAGGGGAAATGCATGATGCACACGAGGCTGCGTCCGTGTGCTGCAGCGTGGCAGCCATGCAGCTGGGTCCCAGCAGGGAGCAGAGCACTGGGCTCTGAGGATGGGGCACGAGGCTGCAGGGACCCCAATCGGCTGCGTCCCACCACCACGCTGCCGTGGCAGAGCTCTGCTTGGGGCCCAGCAGCCTGGCCCTGACGGCCTCTTGCCTTGTTTTTCTCTTGGCTCAAGTGCTGTGATGCTGGAGGCAAACCGCTCACTCAGGCTCTAATGAAATGTCATATGAAAATGATTTTCTAAACAGGCAATTTTTATAAAGGCTAATAACAAACCACAGGGTGACCGTGGTGAAGCAGCAGAAGGGAGGTGTGAGGTTCAGGTGGCGGGGGGGTGCCCCGTGCGGGGCTGAGGCCGGAGGCCAGGGAAATCAGGCTGTTTACCAATCAAAGTCAGAGCTGGCCATGGCTTATTTTCACCGTGACTCGTCTACGGCTGTTATCATTAGATTAAGTGGTGGGAGGAGGAGAGGTATGTGTTGTATCATTAAATTAAGTAGTGGGAAGAGAGAATGGTAACAGGCAGAATCTACTTAGCAGACCAATTTGCAGTCTCCAATTACCTCGATGAAGCAGCAGTATCACTGCGGGGCGAGCGAGGCCTCGCGGGTGCCGGGGGGGGCTGCCTGCCATGACCTGTCAGGTGCCATTCCCAGCGCGTCCCCTTCGCTCAGCTCTGCTCCTGGTTCCTGCTGTGTGGCACAGGGCTCTCCTCCCTTCTCAACGCCAGGGGAACGGGGATGGGTGGGCAGACGTGGCCGTGAGAGGGGGCGGCCGCAGGTGGGCGAGCAGCACGCGGTGGGCACTGAATGTCCCCATCCAGCTGCTGCCATGGGAACCCGGAATAGCTGCGCTGCTCTGCCCGCAAATGTCAGCCCTGTGCGTGGGTGAGAGCGGCACAAACGTGTGCGTATGTGCAGATGTGGGTGCGCGTGGGACACAAGCGTGTCTTCGAGAGCGGGGGGTGCGCAGTGCTGTTGTGGTTGGGGTGCTGTGCTGCCAGACCCCAGGGCGGCCGCCTGACCCCGTGCCCCCACCTTGCCCCCCATCATGGCTCTGCAGGGGGTAGGCGGCAGGGGGGGACGGGACTGGGACAGACAGTGGTGTGTTGCCATGGATACGCTGGAGCAACAGGCATTGGGGCCGGCGCCGTGCATCGACCATATTTACCTTCCCAGAAACCGCCTCGTGCTTCTGCAATTTGCTCCAATTAGGCTCGTTACCGCATCAGGAGGCCGCGGTGACGGCAGTGCCGTGGGGACAAGTGGCGGCTGGCGCTGCAGCCCGAGGTCTGTCCCCACCCGCATCCCCATCCGCATCCCTACCTCCAGCCCTGCCCCTGCCTTCCCCTCTCTCAGCTCACCCCGTGCTGTGGCACTGTTGTCTCAGTGCCGTGGTCCCGTGCGCTGAGCCGCCCTCACCATCGCAGCCCTGGCCCTCGGCCCCATGGTCCTGACTGCTGGCGCAGGGCTGGCCCCGTGGTGGGTGAGCAGAGCAGAGCTCGGCTGGGCAGCCAGCAAGTTGTCACGTAAACAGAGGAAAATTACTGTGTGCTCGGCCAACACCATGCAGCTGGGATCAGTGCAGAGTGCCCTCCCCACGACTTGCTGGCTCCACTGACGCTGCAGCCCTCGCTGCAGCCCCTCAGCCTGGTGGGTGTAGGCAGGCTGGGGCCGGTGCTGGGGCAGTGGGGGATGTGCAGCGAGGCGCTGCCAGGGCACAGTGCTGTTCATGTCATGTAGCACAGCTCGTGCCTGGAAAGCAGGTGGGCATGGCGTGTGCTGGACTGTGTGTGGGTCCTGATGGTGTGCCCGGGGCCTGTGGGGGCATGGGGCTGTCTCGAGCTGTCTGTCCATCTGGGTACACCCCGGGCACAGGGCAGTGTGTTAATCCCCACACAAAGCCATTGTGGTTCCTAAAGCCGTGGCATCCGGGCTTAGCACTCATGTGCACTGCACAAGCCTCTTAGGGTGCCAGCTCACCCCACCTCCCCCCCAGCCTGACCCGTGGGACCTTGGGACAGCCCACCCAACCTGAGGGTGACAGGGACCCCACAGTGCTCAGCACCAGCAGCAGCCACTGCCCATCCTCAGGAGAGCACGGCTGAAGGGGCAGCTCCAAATGATTTAATTAAGGCTTCCTGGCAATGCTGATAGAGCTCATTAGTAGCTGGAGGAGAGCTGCAGCCCCCTCCACCCCCCTCTCCCCCCGCCTCTGCCCTGCTCACCTGTGCAAGGCCATAAGGGCAGCAGTGCAGTGCAGGGGCTCCCTGCAATGTGGCCCCATCCTCAGCTTGGGGTGATGTGCCCGTCACCCACAGACAACTGGGGACACTGTGGGGTGATAGTGTCACCGCTTCCCCTCCCCAGGGTCGGCCATTCCCCACAGACAGGCACACTCAGAGCTGGCCCTGCAGCCCAGCACGGGCCCACACCTATTTACACAGTTACGACATAAATTACACCACTGTGCAGAGGGTCTCGCAGGCGCACAAGGGCAGCACCACAGGATGAACCCCACCCCCCCAATTCCCAGCCCCCACAGACCCCAGCCCCCGTTCCCCTCCCCGCCTTCTCCAGCCCTGTCCGTGGGCCATTTTGCAGCCCCGCAGTGCCCAGGCTGAGGGCAGCGGCCGCCCCACGGCTCAGTCCTCCACAGCCCCCTGGGTGCAGCCATGGGCTCAGAAGTGGCTCTCGGCTGTGGTCTCGGGGAACTCATAGCAGTGGTGCCGCTCCCCCATGTCGAGCTGCTCGGCAGCACCGCTGCTCTCGAGGTAGTGGGAGCCGGAGCGCACGGCCGTGCCGCGGCCCATCCCGTTGGCACAGCTGCCCACCAGCTGGTGCTTCTCACAGCCTCCAGCGCCGTTGCGGGCACTGGGTGCGTGGCTGTAGGTGTGCTTGTACTCCTCCGCCAGGTCCTTCCCCAGCTTCCAGCGCTGCCACCGCTTCAGCAGCTCCGCCTGCACCTGCGGACGGCCACCATCAGCACGGCCCCTCGACCCCGCGCCCGCTCCCAGCCCGGCCGCTCACCTCCTTATTGATGAAGCAGTAGAGAATGGCCACCAGCATCCCCTGGGTAGAGACAGGAGAGGCGTGAGTGGCAGCGCCTGGACTCGGCCCCAGTCCATCCCTCCCAGCACGATGTCCCCGTGGCCAGCCCAGCCCTGCTGCGCTCACCTGGAAGGAGCCGAGGAAGAGGTCGAAGAAGAGCTTGACGTAGCGCAGCGTGCCCTGGGCGTGCTCATCCGTGATGAAAGCGAAGACGACCTCGTGGATGCCCAGCAACGGGATCAGCGTCAGTGTGGACTTGGCCAGCCTGCACGGAGCGGGCAGCCGTAGCGCAGGGCCGTGGCCGTGGGCACTGCACCACCTGCATGTGGGCACGCAGGGCTGGGGCTGCACCCACTGCCCACCTGAATTTGTAGTCGGTGTAGCGCATCTGGTGTGCGCGGAGCTTGGAGACGAGGATCTGGATGATGCGGATGAAGATGAAGAAGTTGATCTGCAGTGGGGCAGAGAGCCGTGAAAGGCATGTGAGCATGAAGTGGCCACAACCCCAACGATGGCTGAGTCAGGGGAGGCGGTGGGCAAAGCCGTGGGCTGAGGGCTCACCAGGATGGCCAGGAACACGGGAAAGCGGAGGATCCACCAGAAACCCATGTTGTGGTTGGTGCTCCAGCACCTGCGGAGGAGAGGGATGGGGACCCCAGGGCAGCCCTGTGTCAGGGTGGCTGCTGGAGCTTGGCACAGCACCTGGCACTGCGCTCCTTGCATGCGGGCAGCAGAGTGGAGCCTCTGCTGGGCTGTCCCATGGGTTTCTCTACAATATATCCCACACGTACCCCACACACCCCACAGCACAGGCTGATACTCACTGGATGTTTTCATAGAGAAACTTCACAACGACCCATGGGATGAGAAATAGCACAGGTGC